CCCGCCAAAGAGCGGCTCCTCCTCGCTCGGCGCCACCGCCGGCGCGCACCTAAGCTGTCAAGGAGGCGGCGCCAGCTTTTCAAGGAGGCGCAGCCAATCAAACAGAAGCGTCTCGACCACGTGCCGGTCGTCATGACACCGGAGGCAAACGGGAAAGGCTCTTCTAGAAGGCTCGGTCGCCGTTCTTTCTCTCGCCCTTTCTTCCCCGCGGGAGGAGGACGAAGCCCTTGCGGTCTTCCTTAACGGCGCCAAAGCGCGGCTTCGCGAAGGAGGCGGCGGGGACCGTGTGGGTGGATCCCGCAGGAAAGAGCCGCCGCCGCCCGGCTATGTCTCCTGCCCGAGGGCCTCGGGTTTGGAGAAGCCCCGGGCCGGCCCTTACCCGAGCGCGAAGGAGGCTGGGAAGGGAAAGAGGGCTCGCCAGCAGCGGCTCTGCTTTTGGAAGGGCTGAAACGGGGAAGCCCACGAGCAGAGCTCGGAAATCTCCTTTGGGGAAGCGGGGGGGGGGGGCTGGGACTTCCGCCCCGCAGCCTCGAGCTACAAGTCCCAACGGCAGCGCTCCTGAGAGGGAAGACGGAGTTTGTGCCTCGGAGGTGGGGGGAGAAATGTGTCTTTTGTTTTACAGACCCAACCGTTGTCGGACCGCAACCCCGATGGTCCCTTGTCCTTATTGGAGCTGCCGAGTAGGCCTGATGGGAGCTGTAATCCAACAGTATCTGGGAGCGGGGATCGAGGCGCTGCCCGTTCCTGCTCTCTGGGCTGCTGTAATCCGAGCCCTTGTTAAGGATCGGTGGTAGGAGAGGGGGCGACAAGCTCTTCTGTCCCAAAGACTGCGCGCACTGCCCGTGCCGGCTCTCCCGAGAGTCCCCCGGCAAGGGGGACGCCGTGTTCTTTCATCCTCCAGATTTGGGGAGATCTTCTCCCGCTTCCTTCATCTCTCCAGCGCCGTGGTTCCGGAGCCGCCCGCCTAAATTTCCATCCGCTTGTTTGCTTTAAGGAATGGTTTGGTCTCCGCCAAGTATTTTCTGGAAACGGAAACAAAAGGGCAGACTTCATCTCCCCCTTCCCTTTTCATTTGCTTAACCTAGGCGTTGAGACGGAATGGGCGGCTGGTGGGTTTCTTGCTTTCATCGGGTCCTGAGTGCCATTGCAGGGGTGGGGGATAGCCAGGGCCCCATCCGCACGGAGGCTGCTCCGGCGCTGTCGGGCTTAAAACAGCAGAATTTGGTGGCTCCTAAAAGACCACCATGTAACCACAGCTATCAATCAGTAACTGAAAAGTGGCAAAATAAGTGCGCCTTTATGGAATATAAAAATGATTTCTTTGATTGAACATTTCTGAATTGCCAGATAAGTTTTCAACTTCACAACTGAAACAGGGAGCAGGTGGTTTGTATCCCAAAGAGTACTGTAACTTGAAGAGGAATCTCTCATACTCTTGGGGCCAAGCAGCTACTGATTTGTAGCTAGCTGAGGGGCTGCACCCAAAAAAACATGCACCAATAGTTCCTCTTCGTCAGGAAAAGAACTGACAACTCGGAGTACTACAGGGTTCTGTCCTAGGCATGGTGTCATTCAGTGTTTTTAAGTCCGAGTAGGATTAGTGTGTAAAGCAGATACTGTACTCATCAAATTTGCGGATGACACCTAACCTGGAGGCATAGCCTACGCTTCAGAAGACAGAAAAAAGATTTGATTTCAGTAGACTAAAGAATTGGGCCAAAATAAACAAAATGAATTTCTACAAGAACTGTAAGTTCAACATTTAATTAGGAAAAAGCAGATACACAAATATCAGATGTGTGACATCTGGCCTGGCAGTGAAATGCGTGAAAAGTATCTAAGGGTCATGTTGTTTAGTCATTAAGTCGTGTCTGACTCTTCGTGCCCCCATGGACCAGAGCATGCCAGGCCCTCCTGTCTTCCACTGCCTCCTGGAGTTTGGTCAAATTCATATTGGTAGCTTCAGTGCAACTGTCCAACCGTCCTGTCCTCTGTCGTCCCCTTCTCTTGCCTTCACACGTTAACATCAGGGTCTTTTCCAGGGAGTCTCCTCATGAGATGGCCAAAGTACTGGAGCCTCAGCTTCAGGATCTGTCCTTCCAGTGAGCACTCAGGGTTGATTTCCTTCAGAACTGATAGGTTTGTTCTTGCAGTCCAGGGGACTCTCAAGAGTCTTCTCCAGCACCATACATCACTACTGGAAAAACCATAGCTTTGACTATGCCAGACCTGGGCAAAGTGCAACCCGAGGGCCACATATGGCCCGCGGGCCGCTCCTGTCCGGCCCGCGGAGTTCTGAACATCAAAACCACTTATAACGTTTTGTCTAAAGTTGATCAGTTGCTTATCATACTGCAAAAAACCTCTTTAGTATTTGTGAAGATTAACAAGTTTAAAATAAAAACAATCATAACATCCTTCCATTTCATTTTTAACTTGATCACCGAACACAGTTCAGATTTTTCATGTGGCCCCCCTATAGAAATTAATTGCCCACCCCTGGACTATGTGGACCTTTGTCAGCAAGGTGAGGTCTCTGCTTTTTAAGATGCTGCCTAGGTTTGTCATCGCTTTCCTCCCAAGAAGCAGGCATCTTTTAATTTCGTGGCTGCTGTCACCATCTGCAGTGATCACGGAGCCCAAGAAAGTAAAATCTGCCACTGCCTCCATATCTGACTCCTAAGAGTCATAGGTAGATTCCCCTTGACATTTAATCCAGGGGTGTCGTGTCCAACTCTAGGGTGCAGTGCTCATCCCAGTTTCCAAGCCATAGAGCCAGTGTTTGTCCGAAGGCAGTTTCTGTAGCCACATGGCCAGCATGACTAGACATGGAATGCCATTACCTTCCCGCCGAGGTGGTACCCATTTATCTACTCGCATTTTTACATGCTTACAAACTGCTAGGTTGGCAGGAGCTGGGACAAGCGATGGGAGCTCACTGTCACGTGGATTCGATCTTACGACTGCTGGTCGTCTGACCTTGCAGCACAGAGGCTTCTGCAGTGCCACCATGTCCCTATTCCCTAAGAGAATAGGTCACTATAAATTAAACAGGAGTGAACAGTGTGATGATGCAGCAGCAAAAAACAAAATAACTCAGGCTATGTCAACAGAAGTGCAGCATCCAGATAAAGGGAAGTGATAGCACTGCTTTGGTTTGGTATGGTATGAACTCAGCTGGAATACTATGTCTAGCTTTGGACATGAGTTTGAAGAGATCAACAAGCTGGACATGTCCAGAGAGTGGTTACATAGTAAAAGGTCTAGGAATCAAACATGCTCTCTTAAACAGCAAGACTAAAAGTATGCCTTCTTATTCATATTGTCTCTATTTTGCTTCTGCAATGGAAATTTTCAGGTTTTGACTTTTTAAACATTTATGTAAGCAATGCCAGCTCCCTGAGGATAAAGATAGGAATTGGATAATCCTCACTTTCCTTTCAAATGAGCAGCCTCTGTGCAGGCATATCAGCCCCCCTTCCCCCCAAAAAAACACCTCAAAATCAAAAATATATCTCCTTAAAGGAAACTGCTACATTTTAATGTGAGCCTTGTTCCATGTATCCAGCATTGCAACAAAGAAAGGCAGGAAAAATTACATCACAGAATAGATTTAGCAATGTGAATAATGCTGTAAAGTTTTTACAAATACCGGCACTATCTTTCTAAAAATCCTGTTGGCAATTTTGCTGCTCACAGTGAGAACTAATAATCAGTTTGGCTTCTTAAAGTTGGCATATTTGCATATGGGCATTACCTAAGGTCTAGCTTTCCTGTATGCCCTTTTTCCTAGTAAATATTTACATTCCAAATTGATATATCCAATACATTGCAGGCTGAGGTGACTACTGTGAATATCCTGCTGTTTATTAGTATTATATTATGCATTTTCTTCAGTACTTCATTATCAGTAGGTCTGAATGGATAGTTTTTAACATAACTTTTTTACAGAGATATTATGAGCAACATAAACAAAGGCTATGAAATGCATACAAAAGAATCTACCATAAAAATGTTTATTTTATCAGACCTATTTTAACAGCTGAAAAGCCACAGGATATATTGCTCCAACCCTTATAGAATAAAAGAAATAGATCTTTGAAGATTATTATACCCAATACGTTACATGTAAATTGTAAACTTTATTGAACAAAATTGAAAATATCAAATAGGCACTTGTTAACAATAGAGTTCAAGACCTTAGCAGCCTACTTTGCATTTTACTGAGCTCTGTTGCTGTGAATAATACAGCTCATGCACAGATAATGATTTATTTGTACATTCTCAAGTATTCACTGAATACTACCAACATATTTACAATTTTATATAACGTTCCAGAAGTTAGAGAAGTCATTCATTTCTGCTGTCCTTTTGGAAGTGGTCTTCTAAAGAGGAGGATATGTGGTTCTGTGGGAAGAAAAACAGGAAATGTGCAACTCTATTGTGTAATCCTGTACCTGACATCTAGAGTAAGCCACTTTTTAAATACAGCCACCACTACTCAGATCCCTTTGTATTCAAAATCAAGGCAAAATGGGAGGGATTATCAAGATAATTAAGCCTGAACTCCCTTTGTCTCCAGTTAGAAAGTGGTCTGTCTACCACATCAGTGCTTGTTCCACAAAAATTCTTTACTCTAACTTCACCTGAATTTAAATTGATCATGGACAACTATAAATACTCTGCATTTTTATCCTCACAATGCCAAGATGGACCATCAACAACCACTCAACACAGTCCTGTTTGGCTATAATGTAACATTTTAATTAAGATTTAATATTTTTAAATTTAAAGTGTAAGGAATAGGGACTCAGCATCAAATATACACTCTTAATAAAGATCTACTGCATGCTTCAGAAGCGATTTTTCCTTTTTCTCCTGAATCAAGAGGAGGGAGATACTTTTACCTGGTTCATGAATCATATAGTGGACCCAGCCAAGGCTCTGCTGAACACCAAGCCTTCTCCATTCTTCTTCAGTCATTAAATGAGTTTTTGGTACTTGCTTTGAGAGCTCTCTTGGCAACATCACATGTCTATGAAAAATAAAAAATATTTGTAACATTTTACAGCCACTTGGTTCTGTACACGCTTGTCAGAAATAACTCCACATTATTTCATTCATGCCTGAAGTTTTAAAAGTGTTATTTTCAACTTGTTTCACCTCTGAAAATACAGATGGTACAGTTATGATGACAATATCAAATGTTCAGATGCTTGGCAGAGCATTGTCAAATACTTTTAGGTTTGCACCACTACAAAAGACTTTTGAAAAATGACCTATTACTTGCTATATCACGAATGAACTTTATTACGAGGTTTACAGACAGCCCTTTCATATGGTGTCTTACACACCCAAATTTACAACAGCTGATCGCTTCAAAATTATTTGGGCAAGATAGCTAGCTATAAGGTACCGCTGATCATCATCAAGATCAGAGATTACTGGTTATCGTTATATATCACAATGCGGGCAGCAAAGACTTCAACCATCTGTTTCAACTTACACATTAAAAGTAACCCAGTTCACGAAACAGATTTCACGGAGGGCAGGCTTGATCTTCGGGTTAACTTATTGACATTTAGAAGGGGGGAGGAGAGAGGGACCTGTCTTTTAGATGTTTGGAAGACAAGCCAAAATAACAAGCACATCCAAAAACTAGGAAACAAATATTTTCATAACCCCCCTCCCGGCTCTTTCTAAAGTGGATCCAGTGGACCTGTAGCTTACAAAGGAAACTGACGATCCCTTTTAAAATGTCGGCGCCATGTTTCTACTTTGCGCCCACCCAAGCCGAGAGCTTCGGGGGCTCTCCCGGTCTCCAACCTGGCTCTGAAGAAGCCCCGTTTTCGCCTCGCTCGGGCCATTTCCGCTTCAAAGGCCCGTTGCTCAAGGGCGCCGGCGAGGCTTCCCTCCCTTCCACCCAGGCAAGGAGAAAAACCAGGGCTGAAGGCTCTCGGTTTCCCTTTCAGAAGGGCTCGCCGTGAGGGAGAGGGGCCGGGATGGAAAAAAGTCGGGCCAAAGAAACATGAGCGAGCCCAGACCCTCCCCTAGAAGCCCTCCCTGCCCTCGCACCGGTATTCGTAGTTCTCGTCGAAGTATTTGTCCGAATAATAGATCTGCTTGTGGGCCATGACGACGACTATGGCGACGGTGCCAGACGCCCCCTCTCCGCCACGAAACCGCCCTCCGCCTCCGAGGCAGCGCGCACCAGCAACTGGCTGCTTCGCCCAGAACCAACCCGCCTCCTCCCGTCTCAATTTGAATCCCACAACTTCACGCTGATTGGAAGCCGCCGAGGACTAATGGGAGCGCGCGTTGTCACGTGGATACAGCCTGTTGCTAGTCCGTTTCTCGTCCTTCTACGCCGTCTAGGATTTGGCCAATCAGAAAACGCCATCAGGGAGGGGGGGTCTGTGCGTGAAAAGGGTGGCAACGGAAATCGCGAATAGTTTCTAGATCTCGCGATCAAGAGGGGTGTGTGGGTGCCCGAAAGCCTTTGATTGGAGGCCCGTCGTCGGACCTTTCTGTGGCGTTCCTCTCCTTTTTTAGTTGCGTGTTCGTTCTCTGCCTTGCGAGAGGAGAGGTGCCGTTGCGCGTGTAGCAGTTTCCAAAGACACGTAACCCTCATAGGCTGACAGAAGAAACCATGGAGATCAGGCGACATAATGTTGCTATTGCGTTGTTGTTTTGTTTAAAAGGGACCTGAAAAACAGCAGTAAATGGTGCCCTTGAGGCAGGAAGAACAGTGTGGGTCTGCGTGAAAACGCCCTGAGGGTGATAGCAGTAAACTAGCCGGTTGGCGAGCCCCTCAGAACGAGCTGGGAGGCTGCATGAGGCCCAGGGGTCACAGGTCCAAATTATTTATCAGCGAAAGAAGGAAGGGAGCGGGCAAGCTCAGTCCCTAATTCTTAAAGTTGGAACTTTCGTCTCATTAAGTGTCACGGAAACATTTCAGGTAGCTTGGTGGAAGGGCTGCAGGCTAAGTGACAGAGCAAATGGAAGCTGATCTCAGTGGAGCCAGTGGAACAGATCTCTTTCTCTCCTGATAAAAACTCATAGCAGTTTGAAGTTGAACAGTGTCATAAAGAGTACTTCACATAAGACCCCAGCTGTTCAAATAACTTGGAAGACCTTGTTGGTAGGCTCCTTAGGCTGAAAATCTTGTTGGTGAATGACAGGTCACTGAAAGAATGAAAAAAACACCTCACCAATATCTAGGCGAGAATCCTGGATGAGTTTATGAATCTGGGTTGCATTACAGAGACCAGGCCACATGAAGCTTGGGGGTCAGTCACTCAGCGCTGCCCATCTGGTTTTTCTGTGTAGCTGAAGGTGAGACCAGATGACAGACTTCTGGTTGTAATTCAATTCCCCACACCAGGTGGTGTTTGAGGAGAGTCACAGAGATCATGGACCACCAGAAAGGCAAATTAGTAGGTTGTACTTCACTTCTGGAGTCAAATGGTGAAGCAGGATCAGCTGGTGACTAAGAGGGAACCTAATTATTAAGTTAACTTTTATTATATGGTCATAGACCTGAAAATTCAAAGATAAAAACATAATGCAAGATAGAATAAGTAAGTTATATCGACAGTATAAAACTTGAGTCAGATGGTTGTCTTAATATAACATTTTACAAATTCTTAAAACAATAAAAACTTAGCTACCGACCGTGTTATTAATTGGTTCTCTCCAGACAGCAGAAACTTCAGGTAGTCGGTGGGAGGTATGCTAGTATGTTTGCACATTATTGGGTAGAGGTAATGGATATGTTCAGACCTATATAAGCTACATTCTAGAATGGTGTGTGTAGCGTTCTCTATTGATCTATGGTCTATGTTATGTAATATAATGGTTTATGAATATTAATGTTGCAGAGAGGCGGAGCCGAGACGGATGGTATAAGAGGCAGAGCCTGAGTCAATATTTCAGTCAGAGTGTGAGATTAAGAGAGTTCAAGTCAGAGTGTAAGATTCAGAGAGTTCAAGTCAGTGAGTAGATTGAGTGAGATTGATTCAGTTAGAGAATTGTAAGAGTCAGGCAGGAGAGAAATGCCAGACTGAGTGTGAGGCCCCCAAGATGGAGGCCTGGGTAGGAGTGCCGTCGCTCCCATCGAGGGCCCAACACACTCAAACATCTCCACCTCCTACACCACCGCGTCGGGAAGAGAGGGGAGTGGACTCCTGATTGGGGGAAGGAAACCTCAGAATCCCCTAAGAAGAACAAAGGGGTAGATACTAGCCACCTGGAATCAACCTTGAAAGAGTTAAATATTACCCCTAGGTCTGGGGAAACTTTGGCAGGAAGAAAGGGGGAGGAGATCGAAGCGGC